AAAAAAAAAAAACGGGGAAAGCAAATGCTGATTGAAGGCCTATATTATTTTTTCGTTAAGCGCCTCGAGGCGTGGACCAAACAAAAATTCTTATTGCGTGGAAAGAGCGCACTGCAAGGTATTGATCTATTATGGAACTGGAATAACTCCAACAACTGGGGTGGGAAAAAAAAAGAACCAACGACGATACAGGTCGGCCTGAATAGTGTTGTCAAAAGAGGTGCCCCCCAAAAAAAAAGAAATGTAGGAATAAGACTAGTGGATGTGGTTAAATACAAGGAAAACAAATTTGACTTGATACATGCACCACAGATGGCGATAAAGACCATGAGTAGCCCAGGGACGCATGAGAGAACGGTGAAAAAGGGACCAATTCGGGGTATTAAATTGTGCCTTAGTTAACCGTAGTGGGAGATGTACTGCTGGTGGGTGGCAAGAGGCTAAATGAGCCAAGTCACATGTTGGCTAACTCTACAGCGGGGCGTAGGAAAATCGCCTCACTCACAACCAATCCTCTGTTGCGGCTGAATCTATGCGAGGGTGCTACAGGTGCAGCACTGAACGACATCCATCACTGAGAGTAAGATTCCATTTTCTCCTTCTGCAGACATCTGAATTGGTCACCACAGGAGCTGTAGCTGTAGAGAAGATGGCTGCGGTGGATTTTTCCAGGGAGCAGGAACGAGTAGTCCATGCGAAAAATCTTGTCCGCAACGCGTTTAGCATGTGGTGCCTCGGTATGATCAACAACTTTCACTACACGTTAGTGCTTGCTTGTTCAGACAGCACTGCGGAGAGTTACGGTATGAAACGGTACGTTGCTATAATCAGTTGGGCCAATGTGTTTTTCGGCATTCTCTCGCGTATCGTAAATGCCTTCTTATTGCCATTGCTCTCATACAACATTCGTGTGACAGCAACCTCCATGATGGTAATCCTGGCAATTCTGCTGATGACCTTTGCGTGGGACATTGGTGCACACAAAAACGTGGCTGCCTTCATTGTGACGCTAATCGGTGTCGTTTTTATTGGTGTTGCGGGAAGCTACGGGGAGGCTGTTTTTCTCGGCTACATGGAACGTATGCCGTCGAAGCAGATTGGCGCGTGGTCTTCAGGAACGGGTCTGTCTGGTGTTGCCGCTTCGCTGATCT